TCGTGATATTGCTCCCGATACGTGTTCTTAAATTGGTTTGTCACGTTGTGACCACCCTATGGTCATGTCGTGACACCTAGTTTTTCCCAAAAATCATGCTCTTGACCCCTTAAATCCCTACACTTATCCAACCTGAAACACGCATGTTATAGTAATTTTTTTTCAAAAATAGTCCATATTTGTTACATTTTTGTAATTTGCCAGGTTTGACCCTTGTGTAAAAAACTAATTACAAAAATTGTCCGCATAATTTACAAAAAAGTTCTACGAGCTTCACAATTCTGCCATCATATTTTGTGGAGTTGTCGCTTCTCATCTCTGGCTTTCTCTAAACTGCCGATAATACATTTAGAAAAAACCAACCACATTGTGTAGCATGAGTTTTTTTTCTAGTTTTAAAAAAAAGGGTAAAGACGTCAAAACTAAAAAAAATAAGTTGAAAAATCAAATAAACATGTGGAAATATCAATTTGTAAACATAAAAGGTATGGTTGTAAACGAACCAAATATTTAACCAACTTTTTGTTAACTGTTCAGCACGAAGTTCGTTTATTTAATAAATGAACGAACATGAACACAAATTTTCATTCATTTAAATCAGTGTTGCAAAAATCGGTCTAGGCGGCCGATTAATCGGCGCCTAGGCGCTTGGCGGCCTCCAACCGCCTACGAATAGGTTTTAAAGGGTTAATTAATCGGCCTTGGTCAACATCAGTCAAAGACGGTCCAAATCGGACTAATTCGGCCCAACTCGGACCAAAATGGCTCAAACCAGCCAGCTCAAAGGAGTCGCTTGCCTAAAATATACTTGGCTGGGTTTTCTTAGGTGAATAGATACATGCTCCCTTTTATAGAACTAATTTGCCCTCATAGAATGCTTCCGTTGGCGATGTGGGATGCTGAAGCTTATTTTTTCTTCCCTGCATTGCCTTCATCATTCTTTTCCCTATGTTGCTGGTCGCCATTTTCCTTCTGCCCCCTGCCCCATCTCCATCGACCTACGTTGCCTTCAAAACTCTCTAGCATGTCTAAACCCAACAATTGCACTCGATCAATTCCAAGACTTGTACACCATAATCGATTAATTCCAAGACTTATGCTCCTCTTTGACCCCGGCCCTTGCTCCATCACTGTCGCCATTGAACCTCCAAGACTTGTGCTCTATCGCCATTGAACCTCCAAGATCCTTGTTGTCACAGGCCACCATCGCACACTGCCTTCTTTTCTACCTGTGCCACCGTCGCACGTTACAGTCTCCTTCGCAGGCCATCGTCAAACTTGTCGACAACAACATCAGGTAATGATTGTGTATCTGAAATCGATTTTCAATAAATTCACAGGGGTTGAAATCTATATGAATGTATTTGATATCAATTGGAATTAGGACAAATTGGAATCTATCGATGTCAATTCCAAAGTAGTTGAATCTATCGAGGTTGGAAAATTGGAATTAGCAACACAGTTGTTGAATCAAACCAATGTTAGAAGCGTCGATGCATACCATCTGCTCGATTAAATGCTTGTGTGAAAGAAGAATGGAATTGCTCGATTCACAACTTCATTGATTTTAGGTTGTTTGTTGTATTCTTGATGTAGGTTTACTAAGTTTGTCTTCTTGGGCAGGTTGTCCTCCAGAAACTATGTGTAGTTGTGGTTGTCGGATTTTACAGCATTTCCATTGGCATTGGTCAAAAAGGGAGCCAGTAATTGACATTCAACATGGCTGATGTTGTATTGCCCATCTTCAGGATTGTAGTTTTGCTGCTAATAAGAACATAGTTGATGGTCCCCTGTTCACCTCTTTAACAAAAAATGAGATTAGTTAGTTTAATTGTGTGATTATTTTTTTAATTCTTAGGATTAATGTTATATTTATTAACTTGTTAACTTGTTTACTTATATTCTTAGGAATAATGTTATATTTATTAATTTTTTAATAATTTTTTTAATAATTACTAGTCCCCGATTAATCCTCCGATTAATCTCCGCCTAGCCGATTAATCGCTTGACCCCAGTCCACCGATTAACCTACGTCAAGCGATTTCTGCAACCTTGATTTAAATAAACATGAACAATAGTCTCGTTCGTTCAATTATGTTTGTGAACGTTCGTTCATGTTCGTTTATTTAAGTTCCTTTTATGTTCATATATGTTGTTTATTACATTCTTATATTAGATGTTCGTTTATGTTCATATATTTTCAGTTATGTTTGGTTATCTATGTTTGTTTATGTTTGTTTAGCATGATCATGAACATGAACAAGAAAACTCATTTGCTTATTTGTTCATGTTTGTTCATTTGTTCGGCTAACTTAAACGAACAAACATGAGTAAACATTTGTTTCGTTCGGTCGTTTACAACTCAAATACACGGTATATCCATCCTTTTATCTTTATGGTGGACTAATTAAATTCCTAACAAAAATACATGGAAAAAACGTGTCCTTTTATCTTTATCATGGACTATTAAATTCAAAAACAAAAACACATGTTCAAAACGTGTAATTTGTTATTCTATCTTAGGCCTTTTGGTACAATACTTTTTCAAAATACGAACACTTACATAAAATCGAATGAATATCGATATCAAACTTATATCCATGCATTATGACCACAAATTTAGTCAATAGATAATAAATATGTGATAGATATTTCTACTTTTAAAGACACCACTTAAATAAATAATAAATATGTGATAGATATTTCTTCTTTTAAAAGACACAACTTAAATGCATATAAAAATATCATAGGTTCTTAGCCCAACTTGCCAACTGTGTTTTCTCTCCTCCCCTCTGCTAGATACACACATCTGGATTTCTCTGACTCTGGGTCGTTCGTTTCGCTGTCGACTGCGGATCTACAAAATAAAATAAACACAGAACTCTCACCATCGTTCCTCCTATTGTGAGTAAATATTTTCTAACCTAGTTTTATGTTTGTAACTTAATCTTATATAACCCAAAATATATGATGCTGTGATGTTATAGCTAATTATTGACCTATTTTGTGAATCGTAATTGTCAATTGTAAATTTATAAATAAGTGAATTTATGAATTTATTGAGCTTTACATGTCGGTAAGGCCATCTCTTATGGTCTTCCCCCAAGCAACGGGGAGCTAATGTTGGGACCGCTGGGAAAATCTTCTTTCCCTTCTTCTCCGCATGCTTTTTAATCTTTTAAGTTGCACCTTTTGCATTATATCCGAACATTGTTCTTGATTCATGAAATATGAGTATAACATCTAAAAAGGGTGAAAAATAAAAGATGAATATAACAGATGACCTAAATAAGCAATAAAGATTTAATTCAATTGTGACCGAACAGATGCAATAATCTAGTTCAACACCAATTGATTAATTCAATGAATTTGTACGGTTCCCAATTTTTATATATAGTGTTTAATTTGTAAAATTTAGATTTTATTAAATAATTTATTAATTTTCTATATGTAATTTATGAAACCTGAGTTCTATGAGGGATTTCATATCATATATATATATATATATATTATATATATATATATATATATATATATATACTACGTTATAACCAATGTAATACACGGTTAATAAATTAAAATAACGTAGATAATAACTATAATCAAAATATTTTAAACAAATTTTATAAAAGGGTGTTTAGAAACATGTAAAAAATGAAAAAAATGAAAATAATACCAAATTATTTATAACTAATTAATTCTTTTTATCAATGATCACTTAATTGATTACCAAATATTTTAAATTTCAAATTCTCTATTAATAATGCTAATTTTAAAGAACTCAAAAAATAAATTAAATGTAAATGTAAAATCATAAACAAAAATAATTAAATAATAATAATAATAATAAACATGTATCACGTTTAGAGAGTAGAAGAAAAGAACCTAAAAATTATAAAAAAAATTGACAAATGGCAAAATTTCTACTCTTATATATATATATATATATATATATATCTTATATATATATATATATATATATAAAATGAATATGTGATTGTTATGTACCTAAGTTTAAGTATAGAACCTTTTAAATGACATAGTTTTAAATAAAACATATCCAAGTTCTTTTTCTCTTAATTTCGTTTTAGTAAAATACCATTGAATTGAGTTCAATTATTGGATGAAAAAGATCAATTATATATATTTTTATTGCAAAAAAAATCATTAAAGTTTATAGTAAAAGTGAAAAACAAATATATTTTTAACGAATATAACTCAAATGTTTTGTCCTTCAATTGAAAAACTATATCCAATGATTTGTGAAACCATTGATTGACTTATTGCATGTTCTTCTTTTATCTTTTATTCTATTAGTTTTTATTTAAAATTTAGTATAGTTGATTAAATGGTTATGACTTTTAATGCTTTACGTTCTTAGACACAATGAAGAAAAAGAACATAAATTCAATCGGTTTAGCTAGTTTAGCTAGTCACATGATTAAAGAATAATAGTAAGTAAGATATCATGATTAGTTTGGATATAATTCATCAAAACTACATAGTTTGGAGGGTTCTATATATAAGCTTAGGTACATAACAGTCACATATTCCTTAAGCCCTATATATATATATATATATATATATATTATATATATATATAATATATATATATATATATATATATGATGTAATTTAGGTTGTTCTTAGCATATCGTCCAAAGAGAGATCAAGCCAACTCTCCCTAGAAGCAAACCCCAAGCATTTTATTTGTAAAAATTAGTAACAACGGTATTGATAATTTAGCAATTAATTAATGAACTAAATAACCGATTTCCTCACAATAATTTCGCATTTCATCATATATCTTTTCAAAAATAGTGAACAACAAACATATTTATTAAAAATATAACTGAAATCCAGATGGAGACCCACGTTGGTTTCCATTAGTTATCGTCTAGATGGAGACCATGCCATTTTACGTGTCTAATCAACTTTTTCTTATCTGCTAAAGAGTGCAAGATCGAATTAGAGCAATATTGATGAGAACTGAAAGCGAAATGGAGGACGATGCAATGCTAGTAGGCCAGGCACAAATATGGCAGTACCTATACGGAGCTTTTGACGGCATGGCTCTACGATGTTGTGTTGAGCTCCGTATTCCGGACATAATAAGCAATAACAATTGCCCTACAACATTGTCAGAAATTGCAAGTGGCATCGACTCTCTCTCCATAGATGTTGATGGGCTTAGACGACTCATGAGGTTCATGGTCTACAGAAAGGTGTTCGATGAAGAAGATGGTGAGGGATCAGAAACAGTTTACTCCCTGAACCACTGCTCTAAGTTGTTGTTATCGAGTACAAATGTGACTTTGGCACCATTGGTTATGATGTTTACGAATCCAGTCCTTAGTTTGCCCATTAATGCGCTAAGTCAATCGGTTAAAGAAGGTGGTACGACATTTAAGCATACCCATGGAGAAGAATTCTTTAATTTTGCTGCTTAACTCCAGGTTCAATAGGATTTTCAACGAGGGTATGGCATGTACTGCTAAGATCACTATGGATGCCATCATCTCAGTTTACAAGGGTGGATTTCTTGGGTTGAAAGCAAGTGTGGTGGATGTTGGAGGTGGTACTGGTGTCGCAATATCTGAGTTTGTGAAGACATATCCACATCTTAAGGGTATCAACTTTGATTTACCACATGTAATTTCCACTGCGCCGACATATGATGGAGTTACTCATGTTGTTGGTGACATGTTTAAGGCCATCCCTCTTGCAGAAACGATCTTCATGAAGGAAAGTTTTGTTAATTGTTCATGAGTTATTATCTTTTATCTTTAGAATAAGAGTGATGTGACATCCCCATTTTTCATGGCTAGAAAAGACCGATTTGTTTATGTTTATTTAAAAATCAGAGTATTCTTTGGAAGAATAGCATTGCTGAATTTGTTCCCAGAAAACATAATAAAGATGTTATCAAAGCATTTCCGAAGAAATGTATTTTATTTATATTAAAACATTGGGATGTCATCGTCAATACAGAAACATAAGCATAAAGAAATATTACAAGCCTTACAGTAATTTAAACTAGTGGCTTAATACTCCTTGAATCTCTCAACAAAATGTATCTTTAGCACCGCTACTTGTGATACAATAAATTGAGTGAGTCAAGTTGGGAAACGTAGTGAGTACATAGGGTTATCAACCCACAATAATATAATTATTATGTTTAATCATCAAACAATTGACCCCATTTCCCATCCCCGTTATCTTCTTTATTCTTAAGGATCTTCCCTAAGAATCATCTCTTCTTCAGTTATTCATTCCTAAGGATTGTCCTAAGGAAAAGGGACGAATTCCATCGCTTCCAGGGTTTATCTAACAGACACTAAGTCCATAGTTGCCGATGCTATCTATTAGGCACAACTTACGTTGTTATCTATTAGGCACAGTTGCCAATGTTATCTATTAGGCACAGCTGCCAATGTTATCTATTAGGCACAGCTGCCAATGTTATCCATTAGGCACAACTGTCAGGATTTTTAGAGTACATATGGTGTATATGTAGTTCAAAAATACCTACAGGTTGCGAGCCTGCTAGCGCTCCACTGGATTGTCTAGAATCGTCTGTGGTTGTCATCTATACTCTGCTAGATGACCGGATCAGTGTTAAAGTCAAGGATTCTCATCGTCTTTCACCTCTTAATATATTTATAGGTATAAAAATACATATACAGTTTAAATCAAGTAAAACATGTATAAATCGTTCATCTAGCATATATATCAGGAATGCATATAATACGCACATATAGCATGTATTAATATTCAATACTTCATATATATGTAAAGATGAAAGTAACTATGCACTCACTTGTTAAATAGACGCTTCGAAATTTGGACAGCGCTTCGCTTCTAGCAACTGTCTTTTCCTTTGACGTAACCTAGTATCATTATCACTAAGTTTTAGTCTAATCTTTATTGCGACTAATTATTAGTCTAGATTCATCATTAATTCAAAGTCTACTGATCTATAGCTGATAAGAGACAACCAGGTAGGATCATATCGGAGGTAGGATCCGTTTGGTATACAAATTATATTGTTTGAAAATTTCACTTTAAACACCTCACTAAATCCAACCTAGACATCATCACCGTAAATAGATCAATCAGCATAACGACGTGGAATCACTGATAAATCTTGTTTATAGGTTCATATTAATGATAATGAATTTAAACATAAGTTACACTTAAATTGTAATAGGTGTAGCTCAACTTACAGGGTTTCTAGCGAAAACTTAGAACTCCGTGGTCAGAACTTGGTCGCTGAATCTTTTTTCTAAAAAGATTCTTGTAGCGCTTCAGCGCTCACCTTACTATACTAAAACTACAGAAAGAGAAGTCGAATCAAGAGGGACCGAAATGCTCGAGGATAAGAATAGAAAGACTCTTGAATTAAGAGAATGATGCAAAAATATAAGAGCCTATAGTAATTGAATTTTCAAAAACCACCATTTATAGTTACTTAAATGAGCTTATAGTTATTTAAACGACTAAACAACCCTTTATAATACTATTTTAAATAGATTTAACGATATTTGTACTAAACTAATGTCGAAAATACTCAATGCTAGTCTGATAACAACCTCAACGTCAATACCTTTCTATATATATATATATATATATATATATATATATATATATATATATATATATATATGATTTATGCTTTATTTTAATATGGAAATATGATATTATAAATTATAACTCGTTCATACGAACTCCATTTTTGACATTCTTTATATCGAGCGTAGCTGTCGACGAGATCTACAACTTTCGTTTAGACTCCGTTGGCTAATTTTGACTTTATTTTATGTCCATATTTTTATAAAATTAAATGATTTTGCTAAAATCATAAATCTCTCGTATGGACTTCATTTTTGCATTCTTTTTTTCAAAATTCTTATTTTAAAGAGTACTATGATTTTCTTTTTGATGGCTTTAGCTAAAAGTCAACCATTCTCTTCGTAGCTTTTTACGTTACATATTCCTTGTGCGCGACTGACTTTTATATCTTATAAAATCATATCTAATTTATACGGAGTCGGATTTCTATGAAATTTATATTTTCCGGATCGGGAAGACGTGTACTTTCTATATATATATATATATATATATATATATATATATATATATTGGCGCACTTATTTTTACGATTTACGGACGATTCGACTGATTTTTCCTATTTTATTATATTATAATAATCATGAAACACATAATATTCATATAATTCTTCTTTATTACGTCAAATAGGTTACAATTGTTGACATAAACTATTACTTTGGTTAAGATTATTTATCCTAGATAGTCTTCTATTAAAAAAATCATTTTTAACGTTTATTATATCTTAATTGACTAGCTCAAATCTACGGGTGTTACAAGTGATGTAGAAACATTATGGATCTTGTATGGATTATAAATGTGAAATTACACTCACACACACATATATAGACACGCACACACACATGTATAAACAAGACTTGAGTTGCTTATTATATATTGCACCACATGGACTACCTTAGAGCATCCACAATAGTAGCTTTCTCAAAAACTTATTGGGTGAAATACGCTCTTCATAGTAAAAATAAAAAAACTATAATGATATCTTTTTATCGAAAACCTTTTTCATATTGTTTGTAAATATATAAGCTCAATGAAGAGATTTTTTTCATAATTTTAATAATATATATAATACTTAATTACTTTATAAATTGATATGAGTAGGGCACATAAATTAGCTATGCAATCAAAGCTTCCTCGTTATGGTCATGAGAGGGGCACCAATAAGTTAATTGAAAAGCTACACTATTATAGATGCTCTTATACACTTAAAGATTTGAATTTTTTACCAAATGACATGAGAAGTAGACAATTTAGTTTTGCTTGAGTGTCGGTGCAGATTGTCTATGTAAGCTACTTTAAACTAATAATATTATAAAGAGAAAACAACTATGGTTTCATTATTGGAAGGTAAATTGAATTTACAAAGAAGTTAAATAAGACTATAAATAGAAAAGTCATCAAGGGTTAACCTAAGCTAAACGGCTAGACAAAAAGTCCAATAGCAAAAGAGCCCAATAAACTTACTATTATGATAACAGTTAGAATTATCACTAAGAAGTATATTTAGCCCGTAGCATTTGTTAATTCCAACAACCAAATATAGCCTGAGCATGCAAATTGCAATGTTACACAGATACTTATTTCTTAAGGGATTGAATAACTACGGACAATGAAACAACAAAGAATGGTATAGTATACACAATGATATTATTTTTTCAATGCATTTGCAGTGGATCTTGCACAACTGGAGCAATGACGATTGCATTAAGATACTTAAAAATTGTCGAAAAGCAATACCTAAAGAGACCGGAAAATTCATTATTGTGGAGATCGTGCAACACTCAACTGAAGATGATCCTTTCAACTACACACGCCTTACATTTGATCTAGTAATGTTTGCATTCTTTCCTAGTGGAAGAGAACGATCTGAAAATGAGTGGAAAAAACTTCTTGGTGAATGTGGCTTTCATCGTTACAATATTATTAAGATACCTGCGCTTGTGTCGATTATCGAGGCTTTTCCATAATTAATTTGTATCGTAAAGTTTTCTTGTTGAATGCTGAGGTTCTAAGCCAAAGTGATTTCTATGTGTAGGAAATTGGTCCTAATGTATTAATGATAAACCAAACAATTCATGAAATGTTTTGTCTTGTGTATAGATTTTTTCAGGTTGTATTATTTGTTTTAAACTGCAGAATATTATTAATAACAGTGTGAAAATAAAACTACACAGAGTAGTACATAAAGAAACCCAAGCCCTGCTAACAGCTATAGCAAAAAAGGCAAATATTAAATCTACCAGCCCCTTCAAAACTTTATATTAGCACCCCACGAATGTGATACGAAGTTTTTTAACTGTTGTTAAGGCCAACTAGTAGTGGAGTTTTAATCCAAATGTTCTAATCGATATCAGCACCTTTGCTCCTACTTAAAGTCTAAAGAAAGGATTGTAGTTTTAGATGAAAGGGCAATAGAATCGATGGAAATTTCCTCATGTTTCTGTAATATATTTTATGTTTCAGGTATATTTACAGTTTATATCCTCATGTTTTATAAAGTGTTAATTGATGGAAATAACAAGTATAAATATCTTAATGCGGTGTATTTCCATTAGTTGTTGTGAAAGTATGCAAGAAATCAGAAGGGGCGATTCTCTCTTTCATTTCCAAAACACGATAATGGTTTATCATGTAGCCTATCAAGGCATAGAAACATAACGGGAATATGATTGTTTCAAGGATTTGTTAACAATTGCATCCTCTTCATCAACAAATCTTCACTCAAATCAAATTTGGATTTCCAAGTAAATTCTTACTATTATATGAAATTAATATTGCTGTGATTGAGAAGCGATCAAATTGACATAATATTAACATATGGTATCAGAATCGGGTTAATTCTCAAACTACAACAAATTTCGCGATTTTTATCCTTTCCTTTAAACTTCCTTTTTCCATTAGACTTCTTGGGATTCTTTGAACTTTCTCCTTCCACCATGTTCACAGAAGAGGAACCAACTTGGTTCTTGCCTTTAGGATTTTTGTCAAGTTCTTGAGCCCTTATGGACTCTTCAATCCTTAAATGGCTTCCAAGTTGAGTCAAAGTCAATTCCTCTTTGTTATGTTTCAGATTGTGTTTAAAATTGTTGAGAGAAAAACTTGGAGACACACTTGAACAAAAGTTAGAACAAGTATAATGC